TACACAAAACATTTTTTATTAAAAAAAAAAAAAAAAAAAAAGCTAAGTTCTTCTTTTTCCTCCTCTTCCTCTTTCTATCTTCTACTACATTTTCTTGACTCTCATTTTGTACACTGAAAATAATAGTACTATTTTACTAATTGGCTAAAAAAAGAACAAATATTGTCATTACTACTGACAGGGAAATCGTTAAATTAAGTTAGAGCCCAAAATATAGCATCATATTCAATGCGTTATCTGACATCATGAGAACCTAAACTTTAATACAATTATTTGTTATACAGTATACTAGGCCTAATTCGAAATTATTATTTTAAGACTTTAAACATAATAGGCTACATACAGTACTGATTAATAGTAGCTGAGATTTGATGCACATTTTAGAATTAATAATCATTTTTTTTATATCTTCCTGAATATTTACTGTCTGCCAAATGAAGTATGAATTATATGCATCTTTAGAAATACAATTTCTACAACATTAATCTTGTTTTTATATAGATAGATGTTCGATAAATTCTATCTTTCATAAAAAAAAAAAACGAAATTCAGCGCGTCTATTTTCATTCTAATCAATGGCATTTGTAAACGTGCACTGACGTCATCGTCTAATTCCAGGACTTTCGACGGTAAAGCTGGCCTGCCTGCCTCGGTCCCAAACCAACCAATAAATACTTAACAAAATGTTGTTTTTTTTTTTAATATAGGCCTATGGTGCATTTTGTACATGCACTTCAACTTTTACAACAAAAGCATAGGCCTAGTACCTGTAGTACGTCCTACTGTACTTAGGCCTAGGCCTACACTAGTTTGTCGTCGGGTATAATTCTGTCTCTAAATGAACAAGGAGCGAACCTAGCTAGTCAACATCTAGGCTAGGCTAATTGATTTTGAAATCAATAACCCACCTTAAAGGACCATCTGTTGTTTTATTCTTTGCAACAGCAGACGAAAAGAAGTCAGTTATTCTAGGATGTTTCATGATTCTTTATCACTAAAAATTAACAAATACTCGTTTTGATGCACTCCGTTCTGTAGTGTGTGTCTGCTGTTGAAAACAAACTTCCTAACCTAATTTTGTGACTGGCTATGATGACTGAGATGGACCATGTTGATTTATTAATATTTTGTTTGGGATGGAAAAAAGGAGAGTCCATTTCCCCAAAATGCTCCATCAGCACATAGTTTAGTGTGCGCTAAGAACAGTATGGTTATGGAATTTACTAACCACACAATCCACAATCAGGTGATTAAGTCGCAAAACTTTATCTACATTTGGTGGATTAAGTCGCAAAACTTTAGCTTCGTTTAGTGGCACCATTTACTCTAGGTAGACGGCAACCGGTTTCGTTAACGGTTGGTACATTTCTTACAAACATTCAGCCAAAGACCAGTGAAAGTTGAGACGGCAGCCGGATTTTTATCGATGTTTGCCATTCTTATGTGTGCCATCGTAAAGTCATGGTTTGCTGGAGTTGCGTTCAATTTAAATCTCTGAACTTCTGAAGCTGAGATATTATATGAATATAGGCTTGTATCACAGGCTACAATTTAAAAACGGGTGACCAAATAATGAATTAGGTGCTAAATTTTGATTTAATGCTAGGTAATTTAAAAACAGACATTCCTTCCGAGTAGGACTCATTCAAAAATTTAAGGGGGTTCGCTAGAAAAGGGGGATTCGCCCGAACCATAAACCCCCCCCCCCTGGCTACGGGCCTGTTTCTATGGTTGCTAGACTAGACAAGGACCACACCGAAACTAAAATGGATCATCATACTTAAAATTGAGTGGGGTGGTATATAATAATCTAAGTGAGTGGTGATGAAATTATGTGAAGAAAATGTCAAAAGACAAGGTCAAATCACAAAAAAAAAATAAAACCGATTTTTTACCCTCCAGCATAAAAGAAAAGAAATCTCCACACATGGCCTGCATAATATTTAGGATTCAGGCTCAGGCCGAAGGTATGAACTTTGTGAAATATGTTTATTAATTTCTTTGTTATTTTTTTAGGATTTGGGAACCCCTAGTCTCTCTGCCAACCCACCTGCTAGGATTCGTGTTTTGATTGAAGATGTTAACGATGTTCCACCAGAATTCAAACATTTGCCATACAGTGTTGAAATACCTGAAAATCAACCTGAGGTTGGTAACAGAATTTTGATTCTTTACTACTTTAATTCAATAAACAGTAATTCACTGTTTCATCACTGCATCATTATTACATCATCAATATTGCATATCATCACATCATAATCATCATCCATCATCATCACTATTATCGCGATCATCACATTCATCACCAATATTTTTCAATTTTGTTGGTTAGCTAGATATAACCCTTTGTTCTTGGTTTGATGGTTGAAGTTCGGTGTAAGTTTGTGGTATAAATATTTCTCTCTTTGTTGTCGTTAATACCTCAAGGCTGTTCTACCAGGAGATGCTATTTATACAGTATAAAGAATTATTAATATCATCTCTATTTCATTGATTGATTGACTGCCCGATTGATTGATTGATTGATTGATTGATTGATTGATTGATTGATTGGTGTATGGAGGTCAAAGGTAGAAGTTGTAAAGACAGACTGTGGAAAACAAGGGAGGAAGTTGTCCATAGCCACTTTAAGCCATGTTTCCCACTTGGCAAATTTATTTGTGTGAATTGAAAGTGTCAGTTCATATGCATGCCCATTCAAATTAATATTGGAGTTTTTCGCTTCACCAAAATCAGTAGTTGGAACTGCTTCTACTATTTGCGAAGCGAAAAAATGCGCAGCCAATCACAGATCAGAAAGTAAGCTGATGCTTTTGATTCACACGAATAAATTCAGCTAGAGGAAAATATGCTTCAGGGTGAAAGGTCAAAGTTGAGAATTGGCTCATGACAAAGGAGCTTGGAGATCTGCCATCAAATGAAGAAAGTCCAACCCATGATTAAAACAGACATGAAAACATATATGATGATGATGATGATTGGTCCACTGGTTGATTAATTAATTGATTGCTTGCATACCTGATTGGTTGAATACTGAATGGTTGACTAGTTGAGCTAATCAGTTCATCAACCAACTGACTTATCAACAATTACTATATCAACCACTGATTGACTGCTTACTGATGATTGATTGATCACTTGTTTGTATAAATCTATCAATCTATCTGCCAATAAATCATTTTACTTTAGCAAATAACAATTTTTCATTTCTGAATTTGATTTGATAGGAAACATCTGTGATTACCATAGATGCAATTGATGGGGATAAGGGTGTCCAAGATAAAAATTCAATATTATATACATTAATAAATGGTAAGTCTAATGTTAGATGTTTTTGTTATATAACAATTGATTTGTAATGTAGCCATAAATAAATATGTTCCCATCAAAAATCTCATGATAAGGATAATAAATGGATCTTGAATCTGTATTGTATGGTGGCCGACAACTGTCACACACAATATAAATAGAATCACACAATTAAATCAGTCTGCAACAAATTCAAAAGTTTCCTGCGCATAATTAAAGAACTCCACAACAAATTCCTTGCACAGTTAAAGAAGTTTGCAACATATTCAGAAGTTCCCCACACACAATTAATGAACTCTGCAAAGTTAAAAAAAAAAATGAAGAAATAAATGGTCACCCAAAACGCCTCAGAAGTTATTTTCGTGCGTCTAGAAAACAAAAAATTTGCTGGGGCATGTCCCCAAACACCTAGGGTAGTGTTGTCTCGATCAGCCCACTTCAGCCTTCCTCTTTTGGATATCTCTGGATCTGCCCTAGAATAGATAACATAAATACATACACCAAAGCGTCTACTGATTAGTTTCAAGTACAAAAGAATAATATATACCCCAAGAAATGAAATACATGCCATTGTGCTAGAATTCAATATTTCAACTCTTTATTGTGTCATCATCAGAAATAACAATTGTTGTTTCTGATGAATAAATGCGTGTCTTTCTTTCATAAATACATACATAAACCAGGCTATACAGTAAAGAAAACTGTTATAGCAATAAATGAACATAGAGAAATACATACATAAAAAATAAATTTGTATACAAATTTCTCAATTTGTTTTTAGATATTTCAGGCCATTTTGGTATAAATAATACCAGTGGAGATATTTATATCACAAGACCAATTGATAAAGAGAATATGACAGGAAACTCTTACACACTTGATGTACAGGTTCGTGAGCACTTTTTACATTTTATGTTAAGATCTCATGCCATGTTGTTTACACCAAAGTTGTTTAGAATCTATGAATGGGTTATTCATAACCCATATAAACATTCAGAACACAGATATTTAAAGAAGTTTCTTGTCTTTAAAAGCTGTTTTTTTTTTCACTTTTTAGCGATCAGTCTCATCTAAAGTTGTTGAATAGAAGCTTTCCTTATATTTTAAACAAGTTGGTGTCCACAGAATCATAACGATAACATGTCCTCACCATATATATCAACTAATAGTATGGGAAGGGCTGAATTTGTTTAAGCTACCCTCTTTCTGCCAACCTGTCCAAAGATCCCTAGGTTTCTGGAAATAGCTTCACTGCCACTATTTGTAGTGGTTTTAATAAACAATTTGGTTATGCACCCAAGGTATTATAGTCCAATTATGATTTTTGTGGTAAAAAAATCTGCAAAACAGTGCAAATTTTTTTTCTAAAGTAATACTTTAAATGTTTTTATTGATTTCTTAAAGATTTTGTTTTGAAACAATTGAATACATCCAATGTTTACCTAAATTACCTTTTATGCATTTTTTCTCAACTGTTTCATGCTTTCTTTGTTCCTGTGCTGTGTGGTTGTGAGTTTGTTCTTGCTTTTTTATACTTAAATTTTTAATGTAAAGCTGGTTCAACATTTTACAAGCAATTTGCTTTTCATTGTATCTCCTCCATCCGTTTATCAGGTTTTCATTATTTTTTATAATTTGTTTATTTTGTATTTTATAGTTGGAAATAAATAAATCGTATCATATTTTATTAGACGAAGTATATAGATTTTGGACTTGGATTTTGATTTATTCGGTGTGAACACTATGGATATCCCACAAAAGTTTAGTAGAAGACTTATTTCCAGTGGGTCCTTCTGGTGGTGGTTGGGCAGTACACCGGGAGACAATCCCTCACTCTTTTCCGAAGAGTGTACTGCATTCTTTAATGTGCACGTGCGCCATAAATGCACTCGGGATCAACGGCTTAAACATCTCATCCGAAAGACGGTGCGCAATTTTAACTTGTATTCCAGCCCACGAGTTGAAACACAAGGAGAGGCAGCGATGGGAATTGAACTGGGGACCTAGAGATCTCTACGGTTTAGCGCACACACAGCGGCTACCACCAGATTTAGTCGACTGAACTAAGCTGCTCTTTCTAAAAAAAAAAGTTTTGTTTTTTGACAGGCTACCGAAGAAATAACAGGTCAGACAAACACAGCAGAAGTTCTGGTAACAATTTTAGATGAGAATGATAACCTCCCGGTATTTAACCCTACAAATGTAACGTATAACCTGGATGAGAACACACCCCGGGCGCTTATCTATCTAGATATGACAGTGAGTGATGCAGATGATGTAAGTACACACATGTTTATATTTCAGCCATCAATTAAAGATTTGTGTAAATTATAAAAAATGCCTGTAACAAAGATAATATTAATTTCAGTTAGTATGTATTTTGCTTACATGAAAAATACAATAACTACTATACTACAGCCAATGTCACCCATTAAAAAATATTATTCCAGTAATTACTTGAAATGCATAGCATAATCAAGGTGCTTACCAATGACAGAAATGTTCAGAGTGAGAACCAGGGACCGCAAGCCCCCCCCCCCCAATTAGGGGCTCCCCAAGGAAGCTTCTGCATTATTGCTTTTTAAGAGCGTATTTTATCAATTTTTATTGTCTGTACCATCAAGTGATGTTACAAAAATTAGGCCATTCAAATACTCATGAATAAAATATCAAAATTAACAGATATTAATCCTGAATATTTGTATACGATGCATTTATTTGGTATAAACACCAAGGATAACCCACAAAAGTCTGAAAAAGAATTACTTCCAGTGGGGTCCCTCTGGTGGTGATTGGGCAGTATAGCGGGAGACAATCCCCTACTCTTTTCCGAAGAGTGTACTGCGTTCTTTAACATGCACATGGACACTGAACCAACTTGCATGGGGCTGAAAATCAAGGAGAGCAGCGTTGGGAATTTAACCCGGGACCAAGAGATCTCCATGGTTCAGCGCAAACACAGTGGATACAACCAGTTTAGCGACGGAGCTAAGCTGCTCTTCGTGTATAGCCGCTTTCTGCTATAAATCAGAACAAAAACAATGGCTTTTAAAGATACTGCTTGTTACAAAAAAGGTAGCATGTATTTTTTAATGGAAAACGGTATGGTTTGGACCCTTGCATAAGTGTATAAGCTGGCACTGTGCAAATGTGGAACGCCTCATACCGAAAATTTGAACCTCTGACAATAATCTATATCATGTTTATTATGTGGTTTAAAAAATGAAAACTTGGTTATGTTCCAAAAGAAGCACTCGTTTTTTGATCTCTTATTATAATAATTAATTAATATTTAGTTTTTAATGATCTTTTTTTGCCATTGAAGACTGGAAACAACAAGTTTAGTTTTACACTTGAAGGGGGAAATGGCACATTTAAACTGAATAAACCTGGAATGGAATATACATCTGAAACAACTGTTGTGTTAGTGGCAGTTGAACTTTTGGATTTTGAGGCAGGAGCTACTAGTATATCAGTAAAGGTGGGTGCCATTGCTAGTCGTAGGGAATATAGTGCATATAATTTATATGGTGAGGTTGATAAAGATAATGGTAAAATGGGTGTTGAACTGAAAATAATAAGATCGTTGATAATGAGATTGCCACAAAACGACCTTGTCGAAACTGCATTTCGATGATGATGAATATAAATAGGATAATAAAGGTGATAAAGGTAATGATAATAAATAATGATGATAATAAATATAACAACAGTGATGATTTTCAACTCATCTTTCAGGTCATTGCCACTGAGGCTCAAAACAAATCTAGGCAGAGCTTTGGAGATGTTGTAATACAAATTATTGATCTGAATGACAATTATCCAGAGTTTGCAAATGAAACCTACCAAGCATATATTCCTGAAGATGCTGTAGCTGGTGCACATGTAATCACCATTGTGGTATGTTACACCAATGCAGTTACCAGAATCATTTGACAATGTATTAATATAGAACTGACCATTTAGGCTAAGTGAAAAAAAGTAGTAGTTTCTCGTCGTCATATTTTGAAGAATAGAAGAATGAGGGCACTCTTTTTTTTTAATCCGAGATGGAAAATCCAAGATGGTCGATAGGAAACAGCTACTACTTTATCATTTTTAAACATTTTGGTGAGGTAGAGAAAATGAATGTGCGAGGTGATGAGAAACTATTATTTTTTTTATTTGGCCTTACATGTGGCTATTTTTTATTATAGATTATATTGAAACACGTGGGCATGAAGGTGCGATCCGACATTAAGTTTATTGCTGCTTGCAAAAGTAAAATAAAAAAAGCCCCTATACTTGCAGCCCCATGCATTTTTGGCTTGAAAACCCCCTGTTCATGACTCCTGCTAATTCTAAAAATAATCCTGGTAATACAATTATAATACAAGGTAGTTTAAAACAACTTTATTAAAATGTTGTAAAATTGAATAAATGTTAAAGGTGTTTATTAAAAAATTGATTATGGCACTCTGACCAATGTTTATGCCCACCCCTATATTAAAAGGTACTCATCATTGTCATCATAATGTTTATTATTATTATAACAGAATCATAGCAATGGTTAAAGCCAGTCTTGCATTATCAAATTTGTGCAATGCATTTTGTTTAGACAAATTCTTACAACATGGGCTAAAAATTATGATTAAGACAAGTTGCATAAACACGTTGACTGCCAGACATTTTTAGGTTCCTTCCCGTGTGCCAAAACAAGTTTACATGTACAAACATACTTTTTGAAATCAAAATGGTGTCTAGTATATTGGTGGGAAGATATTAGGGGAAGAGAAACTCATCGCCAGCACTAGGGCAGCATTTTTATTGCCTCTGACGAGAGTTTTCTTGTCCGCTTTTTGCATGAGTTGGTATAAGTTCAGAGGGCGCCCCACTCGTGCAATCGAGTGTACTGCCGGTAGCATAACTCAACAAACATAGATACGTTATTTGTATGTTATTGTCTAGGTGTATCTTCCCGAACTACCAGCTGTTCTACAATGTATAAGAAGTAATAAATGCTAGAATGTTACCCGATTTTGACAAATACAGTCATCACAAGCGCCCTCAGCAAAACCCAGTGGAATGAGTATACTCGTCTCTGGCTGCGAACATGTTAAATATAGCTGAAAAGACACATTTTTTCATTTGTTTTTTATATAGGCCACAGATAAGGATGCGTTGACAAAATATATCACCTATGGAATTATTGGGACCGGATTGGATAATACATGGTAGGTGGCAAAAAAGTATACAAAGTCTGTATGCGGTGGAACAAGGGAAGAACAACACTGTGTTGATCTGGGCCTTCGTAATTACATGAAGTTGAAATTGAACTTTAATTTGATTTGAATAATTATATTATTTAATTTATTTAATGATCGTATTAAATTGTTCAATTTATTTAACCTGATTTATGTCACATTTTTTATTAGGACATTTTTATTCTTATTCTATTGATATTGGTATTTATTATTTATTATATTATAAAAGAATTTCTCATTCCATAATAAAGTTCATGAATTTTCCTATAGTAATACATATTACACATTCTTTTACATATGCCAGTTTTAGAAAGCCAAAATGGGGGATGGGACATCTGCAAGGCCAAAAACTATGGCTGGCTTAACAGACAGTGCAATGAAGATAAACTTTGTATTATTTTTAGTTATTATTTTTATAATATTACAGTGTTATTGTTGAGAATTTTCATTATTTACACATTTATTGAAATATCTAAATTTTACACTATTTTATTTTTCCAAGCTCTAAAAAGTATATTAGGTCATTTTTGCTGCATGACATTAACCTTAACTTTAACATTTGTACCCAACATGCAACACAGTAGATCCGTTTGCTTTTGTAAACAAATTGGAATACGCATGCGCAAACCTGTAACTAACGTTCATCAAGCATGTAAAATTCATACTCCGCAACGCAAGATGAATAAATTATGACGTCATCCATTAAGGTTAAGGTTAAAATCCTGCGGCGAAAACTACCTATTATTACTAAAAAATCTTTATCACAGTTTTAACGTTTTTGAACATACGGGAATGGTTACTGTGTCTGGCGAATGTGAATTTGATATTGAAGAAGGAAAGTCAAGCTACTTTTTCACCTACCAGGCCAAAGATGATGGCGGTCTTGCATCTACAGTTTTACTCGAAATCAGCCTAACAGATGTGAATGACAATCATCCTGTTCATGTTAGCACTACTCCGGAATCGCCAACTATACCCGAGTCGCAAAATGGACAATTTAAAAAAACACATGTTGCCATTATTCAAGTAAGATATATTTTTTTATGGTTATCTAATACATGTCTCCCTCTAATTAAAGACCTCTCCAATTACAGACTACCTCCAAATATAGACCATTTTTCTGTGGTCCCAAATTATTATGTCATTTTTCTTTATTATTCTAATTAGAGACCAAAGCTGCTAAATACCATGGAAATCTGGTCCTAAAAGTAGTCTTTAATTGGAAAGAAACCTGTATATTATCTAATACTTATAATAATTTAATACCATTCTATTATACACTGTAATTTCCTGATAGGAAAGTGGGAATGGGGGTGCTAGATGGGTGAATGAATGAATAAATTTAATGACCTGTGAGGGTTAGGGTTAGGGTTACATGCTATCAAAATTTAAACAATAAAGTGTAGAACATTCAATCCTTTAAAAAGTAGGCCCATGCCTGGCAGAGGCCATTGTTTTAACATTGGTGTAGCTGAGGCAGGTATGGTATCTAGTCCACTTCCACTACCTTTAAATCTCGTATCTGCCCCTGCATGGGGTTGGAAAAAAGGTAGATGCTTTCAGGTTGCCAGCTATTTCTGGGCATTTAAAGATGTTATATTTTTCAAAATTTGTTCACATCAGGCTTCACCATGGTGGGGCAAAGTATGTATGACTTTACTATCGCAACTAAAAACTTTCTTTCTGTCTTTCCTATTGAGGTGGGAACCTGTCTCTTATACACATCTAGATGTGTATAAGAGACAGGTTACCAGATTCTATTTTCGGACATCTAGAGATGTGCAATATTTTCAAAATTTGCTCACTCCAGTCCCTACAATTGTGGGGTTGAGGTGGGTGTGAACTTCAGTACCCACTAACTTTAAATCTTGTGTCTGCCAATGTACAGGATGGAGGAGGGCCGGTGTGTCACCAAGGACCCTGGTCCAGCCTATTAGTCATTAACTAGACAAATGAAAGATAGTACAAAAACGATATAACAAAAGAAAATAAACACATTTCAACAAAAAGAAATCTCCTTGTTTTGTTAGTTCACAGATGCTGACAATGATGAAAACACAAATGGACGTGTAGAGTACAGCATGAACGGAAGCAGTATTTTTAGAATCAATGAAACAACTGGGAGAATATATCAAACCGAAGATGCTGATTTTGAAACTAAAAAAAGTTACGAATTTCTTGTCATTGCTGAAGACAAAGGAACACCATCATTGTCAAGTAATATCAGCATAACAATTGAAGTTGAAGTAAGTGTTAAGCCCTGGCCAGACTATCAAATTTTATTTTATAAAAAAACTATATGACAGTGTTCTACAAGTCAACTTTCAATGATTGTACACCGTTTTTTGATTGCTTTGCATTTTATTTCACTTGGAGCATACATGCAAACCCACTCTTCAATATATATATATATATATTATTGATCCCTTCATTTTACCACATAGGATGTAAATGATAATGCACCAATCTTTATAAATTCAACTTACGAAGGTGAAGTAAATGAGACAGCTGGCAATGGAGGTAAGACTAAAGACTTTTCTTACCTTGTTTATAATAGCAAAATTTTTAAAGATCATCCATCCTAGGAGAGTGGGTGAAAAAATTGAAATTATATTTGAATGTTAAATCCAAACTGGAATTTAATAGACGCTGACTACAGCCAGGTCAGGCCCCAGAATATAGTGTTCATTGGGAGACTTTTTATGGCTTATGAAATTGTGCTTTTAGAAAAAATAAAATATTTTTTTACTTTTCATCCAACGACCTCGTTGTAGTGTAGGACAACAGAGGGATCCAGGCATCTCACATCAAGGGGGTTTGAGGTGGAAATGCACCAGCAGGTGCTGATTTTGGAGTAAAAATAAGCATGTTTCAAATGTCTATTGCTATTCGTTTATGCATTATTTTTGTTTTTTCTTAGAATTCATATTAACTGTAATTGCGACTGATGCCGATAGTTTGCAGAACCAACAAATTGACTATGCATGGTTATCAAGTGGGGATGGAATCAGCAAGTTTTCAGTTGATCAAATTAATGGAAATGTTATAAAAAATGGCGAGTTGGATTGGGATAAAGGGCCAACTGAGTACAATCTTACTGTGATTGCAAAAGATCGTGGGGAACCACCTTTAAATGGTACTTGTATAGTTCGTATAAAAGTCTTAGACACAAATGATGAGGCACCCGTATTGAAGGAAGAGGTTGTTGACATAAGGGAAGGTTTGTGTATTTAAATGTTTTTTGTTTTTTTTCTATTTTAATTTATTAGGCCTGAATGAACCGAAATTTGAAAAAAGGGTTTCAGCTTATTTTATTTTAAATTTTTTTTCAATTTTGTTTTAAAAAACAGTTAAAGATGTTTAAAATTTGCAATTTTTAAGCTTTAAAGCTAGTTTCCTGAGAGAAACATTTTGTCTATTTCTGTGGTCTGTGTCTTTGTTACCAATTCCTAATTAGATTCTGAATCGAAGTTGTCTGCATCATAGAACACTGACTCACCTTTCTAGCTTCATCCAGAGCTTCTCTTGTGTGACTTTTTCATTTAGCTCTGGAGATAGTGATCCCTGATCTGCATTAGCTGGTTTGTTGGATGATCAATCATCAACATCCCTATTACATGAAGTAAAATTTGCTTAATTTTTCTGGTATTTTCCAACAAAGTGATTAAACATCAAGTGTGCATGTTGATTAGCACTCCAGACATGTTTACATTTCATATATTTATTCTAATGGACATTACAGTAGATACAAGACTACATAAATTACTATCATCAACACTTCACTTCTGTGTATACCAAGACTACATGGGTAAAGTGCATTTTTTATTTAACACTGGGGCTGCACTTCCAAAAAATCTTAATGCACTGCCTTTGTGCACTGCCTTTATGCACTACCTTTATGCACTGCCTTTTTGCCACTTTATGATCAGTTTCAATGTTATTTTTGACAGATGATTGGTGTCAGGCCATAAAGAACAAGGTGTTTTTTTTAGCCAAAGAGGGTTGAGTTGACGGGCTGCACAAATAGGATTTTTAATTCAATTTTTGTGGGCCGCAAAAACAAATCAAATCACGCAATGCGCACTTTGCTTATAGTGTATACATTCTTATCATTTAATCTGGGATAGGAGTGCAATCCTTGCTGATGTGTCCATTTGTGCAATTATTTTTAAATATTTTATTGGTTGTCCTTCATGGAAGATGTGGACCATAAACTATTTTTTAGGGTATTGAGACAAGGGTGAATCAAGGTGTTCTTCTTTGTTATTACTACATCGTAGCTCTTTCTAACCAATTGATTGCTGTTAAACCATCACCATAGCGCTGGGAAGCATTTCGTTAGAAGACATACAGTAGGGGGATAGTCTTCGAAAATTTGCATTAAGAAAATCTGACCAAAATCTTTTAATTTGAAGATGTGGATTTTAATAAATATAGAGTACTTACTCATTTGGAGAGCTGTGGCTGTCAAAACGTTTAGGCTGCCAATTTTCGGTATATATTTCAGTCGCTCCAAGTTTCTTTCCTATAGGCTTCCTTCATTCTGTTCCTATGATTAATATTGATAATATACTAAAATTAATATACGGTAAGCCTACCTAGTCTAGCCTGTGCCTAAAACTTTCGTAAACATCATGTGCATTGTAAACTCAGTTTAAGACAACTCAATCTTCCTATATTCAAAGCCGAAGTTATTTCTGGTCTTGTGCCAATCTCGAACACTTTAAATAGGCTTTCTTCGTTAAGGCTTTTACAAATATATGTCTGTTCAATTTTGTGGAGTAGGAAATCAAGTTGACCCTCCTCAGTACCGCCTGATTTTAAATTGATGGGAAATCAATTGATATATGTTGTTTTGAGTTTTGTGAATTAGTACCATATTTACTTGTACAAAAAATACAACATCCTTCTCATAATGTTATGTCAATGCTATACAATATTAAAATACAATTTATCATCTTATATTTATTGAAAATTATTATATGAGACCACTCCAGTTGCACTGCTATAATGTAATTTAACAATTATTTACTCTAGCACTTAATGCCAGTGTAATGGGCTATCATAGTGCAATTTTAATATCGTATCTTTTAGTAGTATCTATTTTATCTTACAGATGCAAATGTTTCTGAAATTGTTACGGTAATAAAAGCGAACGACTCCGACACAAACTCCAAACTTGAGTATGGCATTTTGTTAGTTGAAGCATTCAATGATCTTGGTGCACAAGTTAAAGACTATCATAATGACCATTTCAAACTGGAAAATTCAACTGGTGAACTTATGCTCACACATGCTCTCGACCAAGAGGTCGTTCAAGAATACCAGCTAACTGTTCAAGTGGAAGACCTCAACAGCATTACAGGCCCACAAAAGGATTCAGGTAAATTATGTTAATAATAGATTTATTGTTATAGAATATCATGTTCTCAATGAATACCTTGCATAGAAGTATAAAATGATTACTAGCTAAGGATATATACAAGTTCCCTTGACGCAATCTTACTGAAACATTGCCCGCTGTGTTGTCCTGAGCACATCCAGGAATGGTGTAGCCATTTTACAGTTCACTTGCGCAGAATTTTTTCTGTGAAATGTAATATGTTAAGGTTCATTTCAGTTCATTCCATTTGACAGGCATGTAAAATACAGAGCGATAATCACCAAACAACCCTGGCTAAGCCAATATTTTTCCTATGATACACATGTGTCAACCACTCGACTAACTTTTCTGGGGTAATTTTACCCGACAAACTATACAGTACATGTGAAATGCTATTTTCTGCAGTATACTCATCTACTAGGAGCCTATTTGTAGTTATGTATAGCTGGGTTTGGAAAACATTATAGTGTTTCTAAGCAGTATTCTAAGTATTCTATAGAGGATCATAAGGGGGGGAAAATATACAAATGATATATAAGTACAAAATTTGAGAGGTATAGTGCATGTTTTGAGCTATTTGATTAGAGTGGTGATCATCAATAAAAAAAAAATAGTCTAAAAAATATAAATAATAAGATGCATTCGCACAGTGAAAATTGAAATATTACATTTTGACTTTTAAAATGGTAAGCACTGGACTAAAACCCATGCTTAATACATTGGATTTATTAATTTTAGCTTGAACGTCTTCTTTTCAATTATAGCCTAACCTAGACTTGGTTGTTTCACATGCAAAGTATTATTTATATATATGTTGATGTAAGAATAAGAAGCCGACATTGTTGGAATTCAAACAGAAACTCTCCTTTGAAAAAGCAGTTGAAAAGCATATAGCCCTAGGAAAAATGTGTCTTTCTAAATGGTGTGATAAATGGAACTTTATTAATTTGTGATTTTGTATTAAAATGACACCCTTGTAGTAAATGTGTATGTCAAATAGACGGTTGAGGTGTTACGCTCATTTATGTAAATTTGGCACCAAAACTCGCCAAATGTAAATTAAAGTAATAGTCAAAGTAATAATCCAAGCACGCTTGTAATTAATGCTTTGAAGATATGCAAGGTAAATTATTATTATTATTATTATTTTATTTATTGATTTATTTATTTTATTTTATTATTTTTTTATATATATAGTTCTACTTAAAAGAGGCCTTCTATTATTATATTTCATTTTCTCTATATAGTATGTTACTTATGTTTTATATAAAGTATAACTTATGTGAGTTTTCTTTATAAATTAATGTGATTAAGTAAATAAAAGGCTCGGCAAAGAAAAAAAAAACATACAACTGTACTATAATAAGATATTGTTCCTAAAGATTTCATTCATTTTTTTTTGTAGCTACAATTAAAATAAATGTGCTAGATGTGCCCGATGAGCAACCTAAATTTCGGGAGGTAAGCTTTTTTTTTTCTCTTAAATACTTTTGCCTTGTTAATTACTTATGCTTCTCTTCAAAAGTTACAAAACAAGAAAAAGCACCAAAAATATCAAAATAATAATTAATTTTGCACACTGCACCCCAAAAGAATTTAATGTGTGTTTGCATCAGGAAAATGTCATAGGAGTGATGTTTTGCCCATACGCCTTTGATCATTCTTAGAATTGGTGCCTTATAAATGTTTGAGTATTATTATTATTATTATTATTATTACCTGACGTGTTATTGTACTGAATACTCAGTACGTTCCCAAATACTTGCGAAAAGAATTTGCATGTAATTGCACAATCTCCAGATAACAAGCCATAACCATTGGAGGCTCGCGTTCGACACAGGTAGGGATTGGATTCAATACTAGTCACTAAGCAAGCTTGGTGGTCTAGGGCAGTGGTCCCCAACCTAGGGTCCGCAAAAAATAATTGGGATCCACCAAGTCAAAGTGGTCTGCGGGGGATCCGCAAAAAATGTGGGAGTCCGCAAAAATCTTGGGGGTTTGCTCTATGTAAGGATGTTTAGTATAGGAGAGCCACTTGGTAGTGGCAGTCCTCAGGTAGTGTACATCTTGTTTCCATGTCTTCTCAGCTTGTATTGATTTTTACCTGGAATACATTTTTTTAAATCAGGGGTCATAAATTTGACAAAATTTAAAAATTAAATTATAGTATAGTATAGTATAGTATAGTATAGTCACTTTATTTATTCTCCAAAACTTATTCAATAATTCATACTGTTCTACCATAAGATCATGATTAAAAACACCATAAATACCAGAACAGCAGGTTAATAAAAACATCAAAATAGCAAATTCATTATATAAACACTTCCTAAAAAAGATTAAAGTATACCTCAAAGAAAAATATTGAGGATAACACAATATTACATTCATAATTATGAGTCTGACAGTGTCATTTCCGGCCATCTACAAGTGCCATAAACATAAAAATATCCTACTTCAGTCCCAACCAGGGTGGGGCAGAGGTAGTGTAAATCCCCTGTCTGTAAAATTTATTGCCAAGAATTCCAAGATCCAAGATGTCATTTGGTGAATCATCTTCTGTTCATAATCTTATTGGCGGAATATCAACAATAGGTCGCTCTAAATTTTACAGGTTAAAATAAAAACATGCACCCCGAAGGAGTTCTCCAGCAACGGTGGCGCTAGTAGACAGCGCCCTCTCCAAATAGGATTTGTCTATAGTTTTCTTATTATTCTTCCTTGTAAACAGAAAGATGATCCACCGGTCATTGAAAGGGTTGCCATAGTAGAAGATGTTGAAGGGGAGAGGCACAACGACAGCTGTATTACAAATGTCTCCTTGGCCTCAGATAAAGACGAGAATGACCCAATCTTTTATTTTATTGTGGGTAAGCATTATCATATTAATCTGTTATTTTTTTTTTTTTGTTGTTGGTTGCTGCTGTTGATTTTGCTGTTGTTGTTAGGTATGTTGTTGTTGTTATTTTTACTATTTATTTTATTTTGTATGATGAGCAGATGGTAGTCCCTATGTGTCCTGAATCATAAAATCACTTTGAGAACTTCCTAGGTTCAATTCCACTACTGATCTCAAAATCCATTCTCCTAAACTAGTCAGTACAGATCCTATTGGATGCCTTAATATGGTCATGATGACATCCCTACATGACCATATATGGGTACATCATGACTATATATGGGCACATCATGACCATACAGTATATAGGCATATCATGACCATATATAGGCACATCATAACCATATATAGGCACATCATGTCCATATATAGGCATATCATGACTATATATGGGCATACAACAGTTTTGTCAAAGAAAATTTGATAATGTGGACAGAGCTGAAAATCCCAGGATTTAGTTTGATGCCAGCTCTCCTGGTGGCTCAGCTCTATGGTTGAAAATGCAAGTTTAATATACAGCGCACTTCTTTGGGTGCAGGGAGGGGGAGGTGGGGATGTTGAAGCTGTATAAAAATATATAAGGCTCAGGCACACATTAAAGATTGCAGTACTCTCTTCAAAAAATAGCAAGGAGTTTGTTTCTTGGTGTGCTGCCCAATCACCACTAGAAGCACCACACTGAAAAAAAGTCTTTAGATTTTCTTGGGCCATCATTGGCATTTCACCAAAGAAAACTAATTTTTATAATATCACCAAGTATTTACAGTGATTTACCATTTTAAATAATGTATTTTTATTTATTCTTATTCTTATTTATTATGTTTGTGTTATAGTTATCGTTATATTACTATTTATGTTATGCTGTTATTTTTATAATTTATGTTATTATTTTTGTTGGTACAATAATATTATTTACTGTTTAGTATATTATGATGAATCCCTTAATATTCTTTGTTCCACAGACGGAAATGAAGAATGCGTGTTTCACCTGGAAAATAGCACAGGCTGTGTGACTGTAGTGAAAAGTGTTAACCGAGAAACTGCAGCTAACTACACCCTCATCGTCAAGGCATCAAATAACATGTATTATAAAAATGGACAAAAATGCCCGGCAGAGGAGTCCAGTGGTGCAAGAATATTAGAAGCAACAGACCCAGTTTTTGACCCCGAAACAGATCCCACCCTAATTCAGGTTGCGATACAAATTGTGGACGTGAATGACAACCCACCGGTCTTTTCTCCAGATGTTTATACAGCAGGTACATAAATTTAAAAAATATATCATTATTATAAACATTATAATTTTGACATCTTCACTTGCAACAAATTGACAAAGACAAAATAATGTCTGCTATCTGCTATTAGTGCTATTTTTTCCCTCTGCTCTGCCTGTGTGTTTACGTCACTTCCTATTAATTAAAAATTTTATTTGACACGGAAGGCTGTGTTGCCATTGTTAAATTACAAAATGAAACTTAAAAAGCAAAATGAAAGAACATAATCAAAGTGATGAAGCAAAAAAAAAAAGCCGTTAAAGAAAAGAATGAATGAAATGTAAGCTAAAAGAACAAGCAATTAATTTACAAACGTTTTTTGAATGTGTTGCATTTGTTGCATTTCTCACTCCCCCAGTCTGTTCCATAAAACAGCTCTACTATAAAAAGAGATTTTTCTATATGTACAGTATTTAGTATTGGGATGATCACCTTCTAAGATATCATTTGATCTGGTGATGTAGTTTTGATTTTTAGGTGAATAGCACAATGTAAACCAGGTTATGAAAAATGTTATACATGGTACTTCATTGTTATATAATCTTTTTTCAAGATTATCCAATTTTAAGATCTGCAGGGCTTGTGTAATTGACTTGTATTTCTTCATATGGACAATTATTTTAGCCTCCTTATTTTATAAAATCTGCAATTTGATTAGATCTGCACCACACCACATTACAAAAAAGCTAGAGTTAATAAATTTTAGAGTTTGTCTTTTAAAAGGGTTGAGATTTGTCATTTGTTAGATTGTTCGGTAGCCGACTAGCACGGCTACACCTTTTGTTCACCAGTATATCTTAATAATACAAATTTCTAGCGAGTCTTCATAGGTCAGTTCTAACAAGCAATCTTGGGTTGAAGTCCTTAAATGAAGTAATTTTGAACACAAACACAATAATATGATGCCCCACAAAACATTCATAAAAACAAATTTTGAAAGATTACCTGTGACTTTTCATCTTTGTTTTTCACTTATGCAGGTGCGTCCTCAACGTACAACTACGGAACATCAATTATTCAGTTGGTGGCAAAAGATGAAGATGTTGGAGTCAATGCAGAGATGGAATACGAAATAGTAGAAGAAGCTTACTACATTGGTTAGATTCTATTGAATGTGTTTTATTAATTAATTAATTACTGTGCATATTTAGCCACAGTGGAGGCAGCTTGGTGCAGTGGAAATGGTTTTATCCTTTGCTTGTGTCTTCGAGCAAGACACTTTGTCTACATTGCTTCAGTCTCCCCAGCTGTATCAATGGGTATCAGACATAGGCGTAGATGCCGAGGGGGATGGAGGGGATATATCCCCCCAATATTTGACAAGGGGGGAGGGGGATAATCCGTTGTGTCATCCCCCCCCCCAATATTTTGACTATGTATGTGATAAATGGAGCTTGTCAAGACTGTCACAGAAATAATTTGCAATGTCTTATGCGGTAACAAAGATGAAAATTAGCATAATGTATTATTGTTGATAACAAAATTATTTTATCTGGTACCAATCTAAGCTCTTCTTTCCTTAGAAGTTAGATGTGTTTGCAAAGCAAGCCACATTTTCACACTGAAGGGTGTGTACGACATAAGCTTATGTCAATTCCAAGAATGTTTAAGGTTATATCGGTTGATGAGGAATTTATTGATTAGGCCTATAATAGCAAATTGCATCAATTTAATTTGCAAAAACAAGGTTTCCAGATTCAGAAGGGCCACATCTCCTTTCCGCACAAGTACACGCATTGGCGCTAACACCAGGCGCGTAACGGGGGTCTTGGTTAAGGAGGGAAAAGGTATTTATTCTTCTGGTTAGTAATGTATCATACCCATCCCACCCCCTCCTCAAATAGAAAACAATACGACATAGGGCTTATCTTATTTATAATATAGGCCACACACGTGTGTTGATCAAAACTCCCTAAAATGTGCAAATTTTAGAGGAAATTTGCCTATCTTAACAAGAAATGCACATGAAGCATGCAAAATTTGAGATTTTTAGGCATTATTTGGGGATGAAAAAGGCATTTATAAAGAGGTGGGAAAGATTTTCCAAAGATAGATATTTTCGCCTTGCCCCCCTGGGGTTACACTATCGGGCACTTTCAACCGTCATACCTCCTATATGCATTTCAAGTTCTCTGGGGTCTGTAATCGTCATACTCGGAACAGTATGTACATTTTCACTGTTCATAGAACATCGAGTCACAATCTTTCTGTAATTTAGGTATCAAATATTGGAATGCTCTTCCCAATGATATAAAAATTATTGAAAGCAAGATACTGTTTAAATCAAAGCTAAAAATCCTTCTTGTTGCTGATATCCCTGTATAACTATCCTGATTGCGTTTTTCTTAATATGCTCATATTTATCTTTTCATATAAGTTTATAATTTTTATAATCGTATTTTATAAATATCGTACCTCTTTGATATATTTGGGCCTCTATATATATACTAATTCTGATGTTCTGCTTTGGAACCAATTGGAAATAAATCAGCTTTAGTTGATTTTTATGGGTTGTCCATGCATCCATTCTCCGTTTCTACTGGCAATTTTTATCTGATTTTTGTCATTGTTTTGTAAATTATTGTATTTGAATGGATTCTAAATAAATGATAAAAATCCCAAACTAAAACAAATAATCATTACATGTTCTGTAATAAATAATAACTTAGGTTAAGAATGCAACTTAAAGCTGTATTGATTAAAATGTGGTAATTGATTAAAATATTGGATTTATATAGGTCTTTATACCAGACTCCCAAAACACTGTGGACTAGCTCCTACAGTAACCATTAGCTCAACCCGCCCTCGATAAACTAACGTTACGTTATCTCACTATATTAATTGGATTAACACATTATCAAGGATAAGTGAGTGTTTAACACTGGTGTCCTTGGATTCAATTATAGGTAAACGGAATAGTTGCCTTTTTTATGAGGTTTTAATTGTTCTTTACCGCTGAAAGTGCGGTATTCTAACGTTAGTTTATGGAGGGCTGGTGGGCCTAATGCTTTCTCCTTCCTTAATAAGAGTATCTTCATGTCTGAGCTACCTGGTAAAACGGTACCAGCTACCCCCGTCTGTCCATAACAGGAGCTGTATGGACCACTGCACGGTGAAAACCCACTTCTCGTGTCCGAAATATGTTGTGGGTTCTTTTAAGTGCACACAAGCCAAATTGTGTACACTGAACCTACGGTTTATAGTCCTTATCGGAGAAGACTTGCTCCACCTCCAGAACCAGCGCTGATATTATGCTGTAGGTTGCGTCGCCCCTGTACTGACCACTCGGCCATCCAATTCGCCACGAAACAAAAGATAAATTCCATGTATAAGTATTTTTCAAAAAATAAAGTATTTTTATTTGTTACAGATGATGTTCGTCAAGAGACAATCAAAAAATATTTTGCTGTAGATAAAAAAACTGGCTGGATCACCCTTTCAAGTATTTTTAATTCGGAGGATGAAGGATATTTTGAGCTTGATGTTATAGTTGTTGGCACAGGAAATCTAATTGATAAAGCCAGTGTTTCGGTAAGTGTATGAACTGCAGATGCATGCATAAATTTGTATGTAACTTCTTAGCTTGCTTTTACAGTACGATATACATTTCCCCCTTTGAAAATGATTCCTATGTATAATGTGTGTAATGTTGAGTTATGTATAGCACTAGAACAGGGAGTACATTCTCCCACATGTCCTGATTGGTAAGAAACTATCTTACTTGTCCTGATCGCTAGAAACATTCTTTAGCCTGCCTGTGCTGGTAGCACATAACTGTCTGAAATGGTGGTACGTTTCCTCACATGCCCTGATATATAACACGTTTCCTGATTTGTAGCATGTTCCTCCACTTTGCCCTGATTTGCAGTGCTTTCCCTCATCTGCTCTGATTTGCAGAAAATTCTTTCTTCTGTCCTGATTTGTAGCACATTCCCTCACCTGTCCTGATACGTACCACATTTCCTCACCTGCCCTGATTTGTAGCATGTTGCCTCTTTCGGCTCTGACTTGTCATCTCCTCTCCTGATTTGTAGCACATTCCCTCATCTGCCCTAATTTGTTTCACATTCTCTTACCTTCCCTAATATGTAGTGCATTCCCTCAACTGCCCTGATTTGTAGCACATTCTCTAACCTTGCCTGATTTGTAGCACATTCTCTAACCTTGCCTGATTTGTAGCACATTCTCTAACCTTGCCTGATTTGTAGCACATTCTCTAACTTTTGCCTGATTTGTAGCATGTGCATTCTCCTACCTTGCCCAATTTGTAGCACAACTCTAACCTTGTTTGATTTGTAGCACATTCTCTAACCTGTTGGCTGTTTGGCTCCTTCACAGATTTATCTTATGAACCCAAGTATTCATCAAGTGAAAGTAGTTTTTGTCAAAGCATCAGATGTAGTATACAACGAGCGAGAAGAATTCACCAAGTAAGAATATTATTTCAAGTTAGTTATTTTGAATAATATGACCAGGTAATTAAGAATAATATTTACCAGGTAAGAATAATATTCACCAAGTGTGAATAATATTCATCAGATAAAAAATATTTTAAATCAATCGAGACGTCATCACTGTAACTCCCAATGTTATTTGCTTATTCTCCAGCGTCCAATAATTTTTGTATTATTGGACACTCGACTTGATTTTTTTTAAGGTTTGTGTGAAAAAAAAATTCCCCGTTTTTTCGTCCCCACCGCGAATACATCGCGCACCGCGATAAAATTGAATTGTAATTGAAAATTACTTTCGTAAAACAAGCTTAATTAGAACCCGAAGAAAGTTACTTCAAATTCAGTATTAAATATGAACAATTAAGGAATTCATTGAATCAATGGACCCTCATAAACACAACAAACTGAACGTTTATTAGAAATATTCTAGACCTATTTTAAAGACTCGAGGAACAAACGTAGATGTAGGCCTACAGCCAGGCAGGCTGCCCGGGCCTCCTCCTACTATTACTAGGCATAGGCCGTAGCCTGGCCTAGTTATGAAATCATCGCACGATTTTACCTGTGTGCATGCACCGATCAAAAGGGATGTCAGTGACTGTATTCCTTCTCGAAGGCTGAAATGTTTATTTCTTTGACGAAAGTTTATCAATATAGCATTACAAACAAGTTCTTTCTAACACAATAGTTATTCATCGTATCCGTACTGTACTGCTGATGTTAGATGAATTAGATGAGCAGGAGCTAAAATTAGCATACGCACAGCTAAATGTAAATACGCACACGTATACTGATCATATCACTATAGCAACCGATGGCTGCTACAACAGTTGGTTATAAAAAACTAAAATTAAAAGATGGCGATTGACTTATAAAGCAATTAGTAGAGCATGCACCGTACACTATAGGAAAATTATTATACTTAGGTTAGATTTAATGCATTCAAAAATTTCATTCGGGCCTTGCAGGCCCTCAGGAAATTTTTTCAAGCATTAAATCTAACCTTCATACAATAATTTTCCTATAGTGTACTATGCAGAGCTCTACTAATTGCTTAATATTCACCAGGTGAGAATAATATTCAGCAGGTAAAAATGATATTTTCCAGGTAAGAATAATATTTACCAGGTGAAAATATTATTCAACAGCTTAAGAATAATATTCATTAGGTAAGAATAATATTCACCAGTTAAGAATAATATTCACCAGGTGAGAATAACATTCATCAGATGAAAATAATATTTACCAGGTGAGGATAATATTCAGCAGGTAAAAATAATATTTACCAGGTAAGAATAATATTCACCAGGTGAAAATATTATTCACCAGCTTAAGAATAATATTCATTAGGTAAGAATAATATTCACCAGGTAAGAATAATATTCACCAGGTAAGAATATTATTCACCAGGTAAGAATAATATTCAGCAAGTGAAAATAATATTCACCAGATAAGAATAATATCCATCAGGTGAGAATAATATTCACCAGGTAAGAATAATATTCACCAGGTGAGAATAATATTCACCAGGTAAGAATAATATTCACCAGGTGAGAATAATATTCACCAGGTAAGAATAATATTCACCAGGTAAAAAAAAAATATTTACCAGCTAAGATAATTTTCACCAGGTGAGAATAATATTTACCAGGTAAAAAAAAATATTTACCAGGTAAGATAATATTCACCAGGTGACAATAATATTCACCAGGTAAAAAAATATTTACCAGGTAAGATAATATTCACCAGGTGAGAATAATATTCACCAGGGAAGAATAATATTCACCAAGTGAGTGTAATATTCACCAGATGAGAACAATATTCACCAGGTGATAATAAAAATTTACCAGGTAAGAATAATATTCACCTTGTGAGAAAAATAATACCTACAGTATATAGCATAATGGAACTTATACCTCTTTACATGTTTTAAGATGTTTTTTTTTTCAATTTACAAATACTATTTCTACTAATTTTAAAGGCGTTCTTGTCAAAAGAAAGTGAAATAGATTGGTGGGCAATTACACAATAGAAATTGGCAATAAATAATGTAAATAGGCAATAATTACATGGCAACTGTCATTAATTAAGTGTGCAGGCCTTTCGGGCCAAGGCAATTTACATTGATTGTAAACTAATGGTGTTACAATTGACTTATGGTAACTTATATAAATACAAAAAGTAAGCAAATTAAATATTAGTTTTATTAGTTTTTTTCAAGTTTTTTTTAAACTTCAGATACTGTTTATGTTTTTTAGGCTTTTGCTTGAGGGTACAAATTATGTAATCAACATTGATGAAACTAAGGTGCATTTGGATGAATATGATGTGCCAGACACAACCAGGTACTTTATAGCTTCTCATCGAATAAAAGCATATTAACATATATATAATATATTTTTTTTATTTCTAACATTTTTAAGTAATTATTTGAAAAATCTCACAAAATATAGACACACAAAGAAATGTAGAAATAAAATACTATATTGGTTTTCATTTAGTTCATTTTTTATTTTAACTTGCTTTGCAGTCAGTTTTTAAGATCTCAGCTGAGTAACAAATTTCTTCTTTATTAAGCAGCTTAGCTCAGTCAGCTAATCTGGTGGTAGCCATTGTGTGTGCGCTGAACCATGGAGATATCTAGGTCCCGGTTCAATTCCAATCGCTGCCTCTCCTTGTGTTTCAGCTCGAGGGCTGAATTCAAGTTGCAATAGCTCACCGCTTTCAGATGTGATGTTTAAGCCGTTAGTCCTGTGCGCATTATAAACCATGTTCACTTTAAAGAACAGTACACTCTTTGGAAAAGAGTAGGGAATTGTCTCTCGGTGTACTACCCAATCACCACCAGACCCAATCACCACCAGAAGGACCCCACTGGAAATAAGTCTTCTAGATTTTAGTGGGTTATCCTTGGTGCTTACACCGAATAAATCCATCCATTCTACATTCTATTGTATATACAGTAATATTGTTGATAATGCTTTGCACAGTGAGTGCTAAGACACAATGCACAATGTTTAATACAGTACTGTCCTCTTTCTGGTCTGAACGTAGATTTCGTTGACGAATTCCAGATTTCAGGATAGGAAGTAAATTAAATTATCATGACATCATGTCGTCGCAAATCTCAAGTTCCCTATTATCAATGATGCATCCAGTCCTTTCCATGTGCTGAATTTATTGAAAGTCCTTGAAGTTAGAACTATCTATTGGCATTAACATACAAATCTCATTTTTAATAGACTTTCTGCAAGTTTTCAAATTCAATCCTTCGAGAATCAGTTCATAATGTTCCCTGTGCTTCAGTATTGTTGTATTTTGAGCAACATGTGTTATCATGGACCTATTTTGAGATCCTTCACTATCAAGCAGGGGCGGCAGTGGACCCCTTGTCGGGGAAGCCTATCCCCCCTCCCATTCTCGGTCGGGGAAAAAATTTAACTTGTCTGGAAAACTTTTATTTAAAAAAAAAATTGTGTTAATTATGGGATTGTTTATTTAAAAAGGATAATTTGATAGAAAACCATGCAAGTTAAGAGTCCTTCTGTTGGGATAACTAGTCCCCCTTATGAGGTACTAACCTCCTGTCGGAGGTACCAGCCCCCTTTCAGGGAAGAGCTGTTGCCACTACTGCAACCGATACGATTGCAATACAACACCTAGTTGCACATACAATTTTTAATCCCAAAAATTTTACAGCTTAATAAGACATGCTTGAATTGTACTTTCGGTGCTTGAGATTTGATTTTTTCCCCGTTGCTTGCTGGAAATTCCTCAAGCAGTGGGGGGTGGGGTTCTTTTTTACTTTTTGGACTTCCCCCTAGCACCACCCCTGCTACCAAGCTTGAAAAAGATGTAAAAATATCCCCAATAAGGTTGTAATTAAATTGTACTACATATTATCCAATTATGTGTATTAAAGATTAAAATTATTATTTAATTGTATTTCACAGGACAGATATGAGGATACATGGAGTTAATGCTACAATTAACTCAGTCATTGAATCCAGACAACTGATAAGGTAGAGTAGGCCCACTATGAATTCATGTGTATCATAACTTGTCTATGAGAACAGCTCAACTGTGGTGGTGTTCTTGATCCATTTCAAACTCTGTAGTCTATGTTCGTAAAAATTGAAGTATAAAAATTATCTACAAATATAATATTGATTGATACTCAATTCTTTTGAGAAAGGATTAATTCCTTCAGGATTGAAAGTAAAAGCCAAGACCTTCCAATTACGATTTGATTGTTTGCATGCTCTCTTAATAATTGGTGGGGGGTGGCTGGGGGGGGGGTGAGAAAATTTGCATCCATATTAAAGTTTGAGAGAGCCATTTCAGCTGTTGGGAAATGATATGGACATCAAATTTTTGGACCTCACCCCTACCTATGGAGGTGCTGAGACAATCTTGATCTCCCTTCTGTAAGAATAATGTACTTCTGGACCATCTCTGTTTCAAATTCCTGGATCTGCCATTGGTATTATATGCATTTGCCGAATGACAATCATATTTTTTTCTGTATGTGCGTCATAATTCACTACATTTTGTATTCCCTTGGCATATAATTATTGCTGTGTTTGGTGTCTACAACTTTCTACAAAATTTTCTGATGTTCCTTTGGCCTTTTCTTCTATAGAGCAATTGATGAAGCCTATACAATATATGCAGATTTAAAGAACACATTTCGTGTCATGCAAGTTGTGGTAGGTATAGTATTATTACCTGTCTCTTATACACATCTAGATGGGGGGGGGGGGGGGGGGTGGTTGAGAAAATTTGCATCCATATTAAAGTTTGAGAGAGCCATTTCAGCTGTTTTTGGACCTCACCCCTATCTATGGAGGTGCTGAGATAATCTTGATCTCCCTTCTGTAAGAATAATGTCCTGGACCATCTCTGTTTCAAATTCCTGGATCTGCCATTGGTATTATATGCATTTGCCGAATGACAATCATATTTTTTTCTGTATGTGCGTCATAATTCACTACATTTTGTATTCCCTTGGCATATAATTATTGCTGTGTTTGGTGTCTACAACTTTCTACAAAATTTTCTGATGTTCCTTTGGCCTTTTCTTCTATAGAGCAATTGATGAAGCCTATACAATATATGCAGATTTAAAGAACACATTTCGTGTCATGCAAGTTGTGGTAGGTATAGTATTATTACTTCTGAGTAACATCAAATTTTGGTAGGCATTAAAGTGTAAATTGTTGGTTATGTGAATGCATGGTGCTGAAGTATGCAGCCAAACCTATTGTAAGATGAATAATTATACATCAGTCTTATATAGCACATTGTGTCCTTTGAGCTTTATATAGTTTTTCCCGATCATAGAGCTGAGCAATGACTGCATCGAACGACGGTCATACAAACAATGTAAGTGCGCTTCCTGTGAGCGGTAGATGATGCGATGCCATCTAATGCTTGTTAGTAGCAGTCTGAAGGGATCATCATTAAAAAAGATCTGTTGCACATTTGCCACGTCATTGTGTTACCCATAAAATTGTGTTGGCACAATTAAGTGCCCAGGTTGCTCTGAATATTTTAGCTATTTAGTAGTGCAAGGCATTCAAACCCACCAAGTAAAACATGTTGATCATATTCAAATATGATTCTGTAAGAAATACATCTGTTTTCAAATTTATTTATTCAAAAATAGATGAAGAGATACAGATGGTTATGGGGCTTTATATATTATTGAAATGATGATGCCCCTCACCCAATTTAAACGCCCTGCTAACATGCAATGCTTATACAAATCATGCTACTGATACAAGGGTTCTCAACTATATTGCAATAGGGACCAAAATGGTTCATTGAAAAAATTTAAATGGCCTAAGCAAGAGGTGTACTATGGCGCGTCGTGCCATCCGAGCGCTGCAGGTGCAAGCCGGTTTGCGATGGGTGTTCCCCTTCCCGAATTAGAATTCTTAAAAAAATAATAATCTGCTAGATGCTCATACAGGACATCTTGACCTAAGGAAGTTACCCATGAATTTGGTAATGAAAAAGTCAAAATGTTATATATCACACAATGGGTCATCGGTAATACAGTATTTCTTGGCTGTTTGCTGCGATAGTTCTTCGATTTGATTGATTAAATCGCTACAATTTGTGGGGCAATATATAGGCCTAGTCAGTAAAACAGAATGCAAAATTATTAAGGTGAGAAATCTATATAGGCCCCAGCTTAATGGGAAATATTATATTCGGCTTGTACATACTTGCGGCCGGAGATGTCCCACGGTCCGCTAGTTGAGAACCCCTGTACTAATGATTACTTTCCATATATTTTTCCGTTTTTCTTTATTAATTTTAGCATGTGGGCCAAGGATTGGCCAATAGTGAATATATCAGTTTATCTCACAACATAAATATTTACTCAGGATTTTTTAGTAAACTAAGATTTGAACCTTTTCATTAATCATACAAATAGTGCTCTCACTTGAAGTTTCTTTAGTTTATATCTCATATTTAGTAAGCCTTAAAATTTATATCATTTTTTTTAACTGTAGAAAGCTGTACCAGATCCTGATCCAGTGTTCGATACTTTGAATGCGCTGCAGTGGTTCTTCTTTACATTAAGTCTTCTTCTTATTTTCATCTTATCTCTATGGGCCATCGCCTTCGTATTTTGGCGATCATCGTAAGTAGACTTAACAGATTTAAAATTTTGTTTTTATTGTCAATACTTAGATTAACAGGAACTGTTGTGGTGTCACATTGATTTGTCATTGTCATCATCCTCTTTATTATCATGGGGCTAATGATCATCATCTTTATCAATGTTCATCATTATTGTCAACAATGTCATCATCTTTAAAAGCTGTTTGCTTCAGAAAACTTACTTGGAATGATGTTTTTGCCCAACCCTCCAGATAGCTAATGTATTGTCAACTCAATTTCAACTCAAATCACTTGCCAATTTTTTTGTTGTTGAACATCATGTGATTTGGTTAGCCAATATATTTTCCTATTTTTTCGTGTTTTAAGCATCTCTAAAATATCAATGCCTTACACACTACTACTTGGAAATCAAATTTGTTTTTGTCCCCAGTGCAGGCTCTGTGGTCTGGTGGATGTGATACTAGATACTACAGAACCTGTGGTTATCTAAAGGATTTTGGTTTAATTTCCTTCCAAATTTCTTAAATTTAAGTATTAAATTCTATAACATGTCAGGTTTGGCAAAACATCATTCATTATCATTTATCTTCATCAACATCATTACTATATTGTTGCATTTTTAATGTTAAAATGGCTGCATTCAATTTTTATATGATATTTAAATATATAGACATTTTCTAAATAAAGTTACATTCAGATTATCAAATTGTCTGTTGTATATCCATATATAGTAATGATGTGCCCATATATAGTCATGATGTACCCATATATGGTCATGATTTCATGTCATCATGACCGTATTTAGACATGTCACATAGTCTGGATAGGGCTTTATGTATTAATATTTTTTTTTTAGGTTACAAAGAAAACTGAGAGTGGCCAATGCTGAAATTTACAGGAAGCCTAAGGACATCCACAAAGAGAAGCTACCAAATACCAACCTGTACCAACAAGAAGGGTATGTATTCAAAATTATTGTTCATTTTTATATTTTTTCTTTTTTCATATTATCTTATGGGTTTTATTGAATTCTTTCCACCAGGGATCGCCCTTGAAATTTACAAGTAGTTATTCCATTGGGGTACCTCTGTTGGTGAAATAATCAGTACTCGGGAACATAAAATAGAACAAATGTCACTTTGAATAATGATAGAAGTACAGTAGTGGTAGCCATGTTAGTCTTAACGAAAATTAAACAAGGAATGAAGAGGCAGTAATCTCAGACTAACTTTAAAATTTTATTGGACACGAGCTTTCGCTGGCAGTCAATACCAGCTTCATCAGGTGTGTGAAGTGTAACAAGAACGTATGAATAATGAGATTGGAGATTCAATGTTTCGACTTTTATTGGGTCATATTCAGGAATTAAAAAAATATTGACAGTGATTAAAAAAATGCTATAATATGCAAATGAGGGGAAGATCGTGCCCTACTGTTTTTTTTTTTTTTTTTGAAGGGTAAACTGCATCCTTAACATGTACATGGAACCAACAGCTCAAAATTTTTCCTAATCTATTTACAGGAAACAAGTTAATCATTGTATTATCATTTTTTGACAATTCTCCTCATCTACATCATCATCACTCTTATATCATCTTTTGTATCGACATATCATTACCATACATAAAAAAGTGTCATGTTTCGGAAAGATTAGATTTGGTATGCCTAATTTTAAATGGTACCATGATGCTACAATGTTTGTTTATTGCAGTTCTAATCCATTGTACAAAACGGGCTTGATAGAGAAAAACAACAGAGTACATGCCGAAGCGTAAGTATTAAGTAATAATCTTAGTAGGTCAACTGTATTATATAATGTGGGAGTGGCTGGGGCAGGCGTTAGTGGTTCGGGCTCTAAGTCTTGACGGTGACGCTTTGGATGCTCACGTTGAATCTCGTTTGAGTATCAGTGTATCTGCAGAGTCTTGCTATGCTTAAACAAATGGGATATATATATTTATATATATATAATTATATATATATAATTATATATATATATA